CGGGTGGGCTGCGGCCCAGGCCTGGCAGGCGCAGAGGAAGGAGGGGCGGATACTGCACCTTCCCCCGGCCCCGCCCGGACCGTCCCGACGCGCGTCAGGGTGCGGGCCTGCGCCGCTTCATGCCGCGCCGCCTCCTCCCCGACCCGGCTGCGGCAGCTCCCTCGGCGGCGGCGCCGGCGGTAGCCCAGGCGGAAGGCGGCACTTAGAGGCGGCGGGGGACCACTCCGGGGGCTCCCGCGGCTCCGGCACTTCCGGTTCCTCGGCCCCGCCCCGCGACCAGCGGAGGCGGCGCGGGGCGGAGAAGGGCGCCGCTCCCTGCTGGGTGGAGTTCGTTGTCACAGTGCCATCTCGTGGCGGGAGGAGCGAACCGGGCATGGGAGGGAGACGGGTGCGGTGGGGGACAGAGGTGACATCTAGGAACGGAGGAGCGATTTGCAGGAAGTCAAAGGACGAACAGCGGCGCGTCTCTACTCCTCCAGTTTGTTCATTCAAATGGCACAGAGCAGGCCGAGTTGTAGCCGCTGAGATTACAGTAAGGAGCAAGCTAGGCAAAGACCCCAGCCCCTTCATGGAGATTAGGTAGAAAGGGAAAGGATCAGGGCTTCAGGGATCCTCTAAGTGTCTCATTGGTAGGGTGGAAAGAAACTTGAACTTGGAGTCAGAAAGCTTGGTTCTAGTACTAATTAGTGGTCTTTGGCAGATCTCGCCATTTCTGAGCCATGATTGATTGATTGGTTGATTTGGTTAATCCTCACCTGAGGATATTTTTTTCCATTGATGTTTAGAGAGAATGAGAGGGAGGAGAGAGAGAAACGTATATGTGAGAGAGAGACCTCAATTGGTTTCCTCCCACACGCACCCCGGCTAGGGCCAGGGCCAGGGCTGGAATTTGAAATCTAGGTACATCCCTGACCGGGAATCACCTGGGACCCTTCGGTGTGTGGTGGATCCACACCAATTTCTTCATCTGTAAAGAGATATAACAACATGTCACTTAGTTGCAATTAAGGAAAACCATGTGTGTCACATTAACACATAAATTTGGAGAAACTGGGGCCCAGGGCAGAGAAGTGAGTGACACTTGCTATAATCAGAACCAGAGGCAGGTCCTTTGACCCACAATTTCTTTCCTAGTCCTTATCATTCATTGGCTGATAGAAAGAGAAATAGGGAGCCTGGCAGATGACTAAGTCTTAGGCATAGAACAAAACTGTGGGAAAGCTGGGCCTATGCTATTTCTGTTATTACAAGGAACCATATGTCAGAAGTGTGTGTCACTAGAATCCTATATAATAAAAGCCTAATGTGCTAAGTGTCTGACCATTCGTCTGCCCCACCCCCACCACCACCAGGGGGCAGATGCTTTGACCAGTAGGTTAGCTTGCTGCTGGGGTCTGGGCAAGACAGGCCGGACATGCCCTGGAGCCCTCCCGTTGTCCCTTCCCAACCTCATCATGCACCTGTGGGGTCCCTGGGCCTGGCCTGCACCCTCTCGAAATTTGAGACCCCTTGGGGGATGTTGGAGAGACAGTTTCGGCCTGATCCCTGCAGACCAGGCTGAGGGACCCCACCAGTGCATGAATCTGTGCACTGGGCCT